GGCTAACACGTGAAAACCCCGTCTCTAACTTCGCAAAAAAACTAGCCGACGCGACGGGTAGCGAGCGGGCCTGTAGTCCCAGCCACTCGGAGGCCGAGGCAGGGAGGAGACATTTGCGGTGAACCCGGGAGGGCGGAGCTTGCAGTGAGCTGAGATCCGGCACTGCACCTCCAGCGCTGGGGACCAGGCGAGATTCCTCTCAAAAAAAAAAAAAAAAAAAAAATTTTTCGCTGCGCCAGGCACAATGGCTCAACCTGTAATCCCGAGCACCCTTTGGGAGGCAAGTCGAAGTGGATCTCTTGATCCCAGGAGTTCGATTAGCAGCCTGGGCCATTATGGTGATGACCCCCATCGTCATACGAAAAAATAAAAAAAATTAGCTGGTGTGGTAGTGATTCTGTAGTTCCCAGTACTTGGGAAATTGAAGTGGGGAGAACTTTCTCCTCCCAAACAAGTGGAGGTTCAAAATGAGCTAGAAGATAAACACACCAACCTCCATCCAGCTTTGGGTAACATGAAAGTAAAGGCGCCCTGTTCTTTTTTTTTTTTTTTTGAGACGGAGTCATCACTTGTTGCCCAGGCTGGAGTTGCAGTGGTCACATCTCAGCTCATTGCAAAGCTCCACTCCCTCAGGTTCAAGCCCTTTCTCCTGCCTCAGCCTCCCGAGATAGCTTGGAACTACAGGCTTGCCCGCCACCATGCCCGGACTAACTTTTTGATGTTTAGTAGAGAGGCAAGGTTTCACCATGTTAGCAGGATGGTCCCGATCTCCTGACCATCGTTGATCCGCCCAACCTCGGCCTCCCAAAGTGCTGGTGGGATTACAGGTGTGAGCTACCGTGCTCGGCCTGAGTAGACTTTTTCAAGGAAAAAAAAATTTTTTTTCCTTTGCTCTCTAGTTGCTCTAAACCAAGCCTGTACTTAAGAGCATATTGGTTGAAAGATTAACTCTGGACGGCAGAGGGACCATCAGTTTGAATCCCCATTTGTCTCTTTCTTAACTGTGTGACTTATGCAAGTCACTAGAAGTCTCTGAGCTTGTTTTCCATCTGTAAAATGAAGATAATACTATTTACCTTATAGACTTGTATGATAAGATGAAGTATAAGAAAGCTTAGCAGGAGACCGCGGTTGCGGTGGCTCAAGGCCTGCTAATCCCGCACTTATGGGAGGCCAGAAGATGGGTCGGAATCACGAGGTCAGGAGATCGAGAAACCGTCCTAGCCCGGGCAACAGAGCGAGACTCCATCTCAAAAAAATAATAAGTAGGCCAGCTATGGTGGCTCATACCTTTTTTAATCCCAGCAGTTTGGGAGGCTGATGAAGGAGGATTGCTTGAGCCCAGGAGTTCGAGACCTGGGCAACATGCGAAAATACCCCACCCATCTCTTTTTTTTGAGACGGTCTCACTGTGTCGCCCAGGCTGGAGTGCAGTGTCATGATCTCGACTCACTGCAACCTCCACCTCCTGGGTTCAAGCGATTCTCCTGCCTCAGCCTCCAGAGTAGAGTAGCTGGGACTACAGGCACATGCCACCATGCCTGGCTAATTTTTGTATTTTTAGTAGAGACCAAGTTTCACCATGTTGGCCAGGCTGGTCTCGAACGCCTGACCTCAAGTGATCCACCCACCTCAGCCTCCCAAAGTGCTGGGATTATAGGCGTAAGCGACCATGCCTGGCCGACTCCATCTCTTAAAAAAAAAAAGAAAAAAAAAAGGCTAGGTAGGTGTGATGGCATGTGCTGGTAGCCCTGGCTAGTCAGTGAGAGGCAGAGGTGGGAGCATCACTTGAGCCCAGGAGGCCAAGGCTGCAGTCAGCTGTGATCACACCATTGCATTCCAGTCTGGGTGACTGAGTGAGATCCTGCCTCAAAATTAAGTAACTAAGTAAGTAAACTTTAATGTCTTTTTACTGAGTTAAAAGCACAAAGTACCCAATTCCCTTCATTGGGGTTTTCATCACATAACCCAAACTTATCACCTTGGGGTGTAGTGTCTTCCTTTATCCCTGAAGAATATGAAACCTGTTCATGATTTGTCTTCCTATTCCACAGGCAGGCCCAATGCCGAAACACATTGCATTCATAATGGACGGGAACCGTCGCTATGCCAAGAAGTGCCAGGTGGAGCGGCAGGAAGGCCACTCACAGGGCTTCAACAAGCTAGCTGAGGTGGGTTCGTATGGCAGAGCCCAAAGTGAACAGTCTGTGGAGAGGTGGATTATAGCTAGAAAACCAGGCTCTGAGTTTGCTGTGGTTGAAGAGTGTTTTGTGTATCTGTCTCTGTGTTTTACTGTTTGCTTGCTAGCTATAGGTCTCATCTTGACATTGGCCAGATGTGGTTGCTTATGCCTGTAATCCCATACTTTGGGAGGCCGAGGCAGGAGGATTGCTTGAGCCCAGGGGTTCAGGACCAGCCTGGGCAACATAGTCAAACCCTGTCTCTACAAAAAAATTTAAAAATTAGCCAGACTTGGTGGTGCACACCTGTGCCTCCAGCTACTCAGGAGGCTGAGGTGGGAGGACTATCTGAGCCCAGGAAGCTTTGAGGCGGCAGTGAACAGAGATTGTGCCACTGTACTCTAGCCTGGGTGACAGAGTGACACCATCTCAAGAAAAAAAAAAATGACATTAACAAAGAAGTAATCATCCAGTGAATGACCATAAAATATTGGAAATAGGAACAAAATTGCCTCTTCTTATTTTAATAAATCAACAGTTTATATTCTATGCCTCATCCAATCCTTATTGTATGCTCTACATGACTTAACATTAATAAAATTGCATCTGTAGCTTCGGTAACCTTATTTTTTAACATTTTGGTTTTGTTTGTTTGTTTGAGACAGCGTCTCGCTCTGTTGCCCAGGCTGGAGTGCAGTGGCATGATCTCTGCTCACTGCAACCTCCACCTCCCGGGTTCAAGTGATTTTCTTCCTCAGCCTCCTGAGTAGTTGAGATTGAACACCTGTCACCACATCCAACTAATTCTTTTGTATTTTGAGAGAGATGAGGTTTCACCATGTTGGCCAGGCTGTTCTCGAACTCCTGACCTCAAGTGATCCACCCCCATCAGCCTCCCAAAGTGCTGGGGTTACAGTCATGAGCCACTGTGCCCGGCCAACATTTGGGGAAGCATTTTTTAAGGTGTATATATAAGCTTTCTAACTGTATGTTTCAATGACTATAGAACATTTTATCAAGAGGATCTGATACAATTTAACTGCTCCACTATTACTTGACATTACAATAAACATTATAAATAGTACTGTTTCACCCTGGGCAACATGGTGAGATCCTGTCTCTACAAAAAAAAAAAAAAAAAAAAATTAACCAAGCATGGTGGTGCATGCCTGTGGTCCCAGCTACTTATGGGACTGAGGTGGAAGGATCACTTGAACCCTGGAGGTTGAGGCTGCAGTGAGCTATGTTCATGTCACCATACTCCAGCCTGGTGACAGAGCAAGACCTTGTCTGAAAAAAAAAAGTACTCTTTTTGGATAAATTCTTAGAAGTGACATTTCTGGATGAACATTGGGTGACTATTCATTCTGCTTTGGCAAGGCTGACAGGTTTCTCAGGACGCAGATCTTTCAGTGCTAAAACTGGTGAAAGTCCCCAGCAAACCAGGACATCACTCTACACAGAGGTCATGAACATTTTGTGGTATAATGCATGTTATAAATTGGAAAACATTAAGTTTAACAAAAGAATGGAATATGACAATCTTGGTGAAACTTTTAAGAAGAATGGAGGGCCGGGAGCAGTGGCTCACGCCTGTAATCTCAGCACTTTGGGAGGCCGAGGCACGCGGATCATGAGGTCAGAAGATCAAGACTATCCTGGCTAACACGGTGAAACCCCGTCTCTACTAAAAATATAAAAAACTAGCCGGGCGTGGTGGCGGGCGCCTGTAATCCCAGCTACTCAGGAGGCTGAGGCAGGAGAATGGCGTGAACCCGAGAGGCGGAGCTTGCAGTGAGCTGAGATTACATCACTGCACTCCAGCCTGGGCAACAGAGTGAGACTCCGTCTCAAAAAAAAAAAAAAAGAATGGAAATATGGTCTGTAGTTCACAGGTCCCAGTATCCTGGCACAGGGGCACAGCGTGATGCCAGGGCTGTGATGTTTTTTTCTTGAATGAGTGGCAGTGGGGTTCTCACTAACACCTTGTAGAAGTCTTTACTTTATGGAGTTTGTTGACTCTGGCTTCTGTTTTGTAACTGAGAGGCAGTTTTGCCTAATGCTTAGGAGCTTAAGCTCTGGAGTCCCTCAGAACTCATTGGCACCCCTGCTCTGTCGCTGTCTGGCTTTGCGACCTGCAGTGAGTTATGTAGCTTCCTTTTGCCTCAGTTTCTTTATCTATAAAACAGGGTTAGCAATCTCTCTCAGTAGATTATTTGAAGATAAATAAGATGGCACAATGGAAAGCATGTAGCACAGGCCCTGACATAAAGGAAGTGCTCAAAAATCAAACTTGTTATTAGCAATTATATTGACTGATGTCAGTGGTGGGTTCCAACCCAGATGTGCCATCCACAGTGGCTGCCTTGCAAGGTCTTTAGAGCCTGAGGCTGTTCAAGTGTCAGGTTCTCACTGGTAATTTTCCTAAGATAACAATAGATTTGTTTGCTTGTATGTTTGTTAAGGGGTTAGAGAGGTAGCTCTTTAGCTTTGTTTCTTCTGTTCTCCACCTCTCAACATTTCTCCAGCTCTCCATCTCTCAACATTGTTCTTCACCTCTCAGCATTGTTCTCCACCTTTAGTGGTACAGGATTAGAGCAGCCCCAAAGGACTAAGTTTTTTTCTTTTTTCTTTTTTTTTTTTGAGACGGAGTCTTGCTCTGTCACCCAGGCTAGGGTGCAGTGGCGTGATCTCAGCTCACTACAACCTCCGCCTCCCGGGTTCAAGCGATTCTCCTGCCTCAGCCTGCCGAGTAGCTGGGATTACAGGTGCGTGCCACCACTCCCGGCTAATTTTTGTGTTTTTAATAGAGACGGAGTTTCACCATGTTAGCCAGGCTGGTCACAAACTCCTGACCTCGTGATCTGCCCCCCGTGGCCTAAGTGCTGGGATTACAGGTGTGAGTCACCGCGCCCAGCCAGGACTAAGTTTAAGTGTGAGTTTCATTTTTTCTTTTTTTTGAGACAGAGTCGCTCTCTCTGTCGCCCAGGTTGGAGTACAGTGGCGCGATCTTGGCTCACTGCAACCTCTGCCTCCCAGGTTCGAGGGATTCTCCTGCCTCAGCCTCCTGACTAGCTGGGATTACAGGCCCGCGTCACCACACCCAGCTAATTTTTGCATTTTTAGTAGAGATGGGGTTTCACCATGTTGGTCAGGCTGGTCTTGAACTCCTGACCTCGTGATCCTCCCACCTCGGCCTCCCAAAGTGCTGGGATTATAGGCATGAGCCACCATGCCTCGCCTGTTTTTTTTGAGTCAAAGTCTCACTCTGTAGCCCAGGCTGGAGTACAGTGGTAAGATCTCCGCTCACCACAGCCTGTGCCTCCCGGGTTCAAGCAATTCTCCTGCCTCAACCTCCCAAGTAGCTGGGATTACAGGCATGCGCCATTGCACCCAGCTAAGTTTTTGTATTTTTAGTAGAGATGGGGTTTTACCATGTTGGCCAGGCTGGTCTTGAACTCCCAACCTCAGGTAATCCGCTCACCTCGGCCTCCCAAAGTGCTAGGGTTACAGGTGTGACCCACCGCACCCAGCCAGTTTCATTTCTTTTTGAATTATAATTTCATATGGTGAAATGCACAGATTTTAGGTTTTGACAATGCATTCATTTAACCCATACCCCTGTCGAGATATAAGACATTTCCTGCTGGGCGCAGTGGCTCATGCCTGTAATCCTACCACTTTGGGAGGCCGAGGCAGGCAGATCACCTGAGGTCAGGAGTTCGAGACCAGCCTGGCCAGCATGGCGAAATCTGTCTCTACTAAAAATACAAAAAGTTAGCCGGGTGTGGTGGCACATGCCTGTAGGCCACCTACTCGGGAGGCTGAGGCAGGAGAATCACTTGAACGTAGGAGGTGGAGGTTGTAGTGAGCCAAGATTGTAGCACTGTACTCCAGCCTGGGTGACAGAGCGAGATTCCAGCAAAAAACAAAAAAAAAAAAACAAAAAGATGTAGGACATTTCTCTCTCTCCAAAAAGTTCCCTGGTGCCCTTTCTCAATCAACTTCTGTTCCACCTCCTCCTTTTCTTCTCTAGGCAACTACTGTTCTGATTTCTGTAACTATAAATTTGTTTTTCCTGTTCTAGAACTCCATATAATGGAATCAGACAGTTGAGTTGAGGATTTTTGACATATTCTTCAACTCTGAGCCTGTTTTATCATCTGTAAAGTAGGCATGAAAACAGCAGTGTCATTTTAAAGTGGGTGTTCAAAGAATCGAATGAAATTATGTGAAAACCCTTTGCAGGCTATTAAATGTTACACAGCTGTCCAGTTATTGCTTTTTTTCTTTTGACTCATCAGCCTCCCAACCTACCAGAATAATGAAGTTACGCTGTGAGTAATAACACCTTGTGTTTTTATATTGTTCGTTAACCACCTTGTAAGGGATGGATTGTGATTCCTATTACAGGTAAGGAGACTTAAACCTAGAGAGATTAAGTGATTTGATTCTAGTCACAGAAGTGCATGATGGAGTCAGGGACTAGAACCTAGGTCTTTACACTCTCAATGCAGAGTTCTTTCTTGTAATGCACAATGCCATCAGCATTCACTAAGATCACATTTTTCAGTTTCTTCAATGGTGGTTTTCTCCTTGTTTGATTCATTAATTCTGACATAAACACTGATGTTATCCTAGCTTCACCCAGCTTTGGGAGGAGAAAAGTCTGCCTCCCATCTCCAGCTCTGAGTCAGGACCAAAAAGTACCTCTTATTTCCCTTCCCACTCTTCCTTGTATCCTAGCTCCTTGCCTTCTCCCCTCTCAGACTCTGCGGTGGTGTTTGAACCTGGGCATCCTAGAGGTGACGGTCTACGCATTCAGCCTTGAGAACTTCAAACGCTCCAAGAGTGAGGTAGACGGGCTTATGGATCTGGCCCGGCAGAAGTTCAGCCGCTTGATGGAAGAACAGTAAGATGCTATCAGAGGGGAGAGTATGTTCTTCCACCACCCCCAGCCTTATCCTAACCCTTGAAATTCTGTTATCTGAGGCTTACTTAAGGGACTTCCAACTCTTTTTAATGTTGGTTAGACATCTTGGGTGGCAAATATCAGAAATACAAGATAGTCTTTCATTCTTTATTTCTTCCATTTTTTTTAAATTAAAAAAGGGGCATTTATTTGAGGATATTGAGGTGTGTCACATGATTTAAGAACAAGTACAGCCAACCTCAAGCAAAACTGAAACCAGGAATTAAACCCACTAGGTAGAACCTCTATATTCATTTATTTCCACCTCTCTCTGCAGACCAGTTTTCTCTGCTTCAAAAGAGCAACCCAGAATCAATAAAATCCCTTAATTGGGATCCCTAAATTCTATCAGATTTCTACCCCAGAGCCAATAAACTATGGCCAAGGAAGTGGAGTTAAAGAAAACATTAAGGAAGTCATTTTCTGCTGCACAGTGAGCCCTAAAAAGTTACTGTACTCCCCCTGCATAGTCTTTTGGGAGGGATGGGATGATGCATAAGAGACAATTATGGGGAAGCGTCAGTACCATTCTTAGCTGTCAGTAAGTTTAGGCTTAACTTAGGGAACAAAGCCAGAGAGGGGCAAAGACGAAGTTCAGTGGAGACTGCTTGCTTCAAAGTATGGAGCCCTTACCAGCCAGAATTGCCCAAAAGCCTTAGTTACAACTGTTGTGTGCCCAGCTCCTACCTATACCAGGAAGATGAGAGAACAGTGAGCCTAGAACTCCAGTGAAGGTAAGCCTAGAACAATGGGTGGTAGGGAGGGTAGCCAGGCTTCCTTCTGTCTATATTAGGATGGTGAGATTCTGGGCTACAGACATTGCTCCCTGGTCCCCAGCAGAGCCTGTGTGGCTCAGAGTTTACACCTAAGGAGCCGGGGATGGAGGCATGGGGGGCACATCCCACTAATCTTACCTTTTTAAAGTCCTTACTATATGCCAGGCTTTGAGCCTAAAATATATTCTTACTCATCCTGTAATCACATTATACCATGACAAAGATATTATTGGCCCATTTTTAGAGAGAAGGAAAGTAGAAATCAAAGAAGTTAAGGCATATATCCTGGGTCACACAGCTATCAGGCAGAGCCAAGGTGCACACCTGGGTCTTTCTGACTCCAGAGCTGAGCTATCATCTACACTGTGCTCTGAGAGACAGGCCATCTTACAATTCCTGCAAGATCAAAATGCACGGCAGAAGAGATGCTAATGACATTGCTCTGATCAGTTAATAGTAGAGAAAATGGACTTCGTTTATCATGAAGTCCTGGCGAAAGCAAGAAGAAACCTCAGAGGTGCTTTGCCATTAATGTGCCACAGAACCCCAAGGTCTGAGGAGGTGTAGAAAGAACCCAGTGGGAGTAGGGTAGAGGGTGCTGAGTTGCATTTACCTATTTTATGTATTAGGCTTCTGTGTAGAATTTGATTTGAAGAAAGGGTTCTTTGGCTGAAAGAAAGTGGGAAAACCACTGGCCTTATTCTATTTCATCAGTTGGGAAACAAAACCCTGGTAAAGAGAAGAGGTTGAGCAGGGTGGCTCGCACCTGTAATCCCAGCGCTTTGGGAGGCCAAGGAGGGTGGATTCCTTGAGTCCAGGAATTTGCTTGAGTCCAGCCTAGGCAACATGGCAAAACCCCATCTCTACAAGAAAATACAAAAAAAATTAACTGAGGATGGTGGCACATGCCTGTAATCCCAGCTACACGGGAGGCTGAAGAGGGAGGCTCACTTGAGTCTGGGGAGGTTGAGGCTTCAATGAGCTGTCATTGAACCACTATCTTCCATCCTGGGCAACAGAGTGAGATGCTGTCTCAAAAAATTAATTCATTAAAATAAAAATAAGTAAATTAAAAATTTAAAAACCAGAAGACGAGGGCTCACGCCTGGTCACACATCAAGCTAGTGGCAGAACTATACCACAAGCTAGTAGGAAGAGCTGAATCAAGGTCTTCTAGTATACTTCCTTCTATTAAGCTCCCATTTTCCAAACGTGAAGCATTTGGTTTCTTCATAGCATTTCCAGATGAGAGAAACTGGTTGAATTCATTCTCACCATATGCAGAGTTTGGGAGTTATTGTATGGAAGCAATATAATGTCATAATTAAGAAGACAAGCTCTGGAGGCTGACTTCCTATGTACAAATCCTGGTTCTCCATTCATCAACTGTCCGAACAAATTACCTAACGTCCCTGTGCCTCAGTTTCCTCATCTGTAAAAGGGGAATAATAATGGTATATAACTCAGAGGTTGGTGTAAGAATGGAATGTGTTGGTACATGTAAAGCACTTAGACCAATATCTGGAATTTAGTAAACATAGAATGTTAGCTGTCACCATTATCATCATATTTCACTAGAACGTAACACAAGTAACCAATAATACAGCTCCTTCCCTTGAGGAGTTTACTCACTTCTCAAATGGGACTTCACAGATACATAAAATGCAACTTCCCAAAAAGGACACATGAGGTTGTGTAATGTATAGTAAAGAGTTTGGGTTCTTGCTGGACATGGTGGCTCACACCTGTAATCCTAGCACTGTGGGAGGCTCAGGCAGGAGGATCACTTGAGGCCAGGAGTTTGAGACCACCTTGGGCAACATAGTGAGACCTCATCTTTACAAGAAATACAAAAATTAGCCGGGCATGGTGGTGTACACCTTTAGTCCCAGCTACTTGGGAAGCTGAGGCAGGAGGATCGCTTGAGCTCAGGATTTGGAAGTTATATTGAACCATGAGTATACCGCTGCACTCCAGTCTGGGTGAGGGTAAGACCCTGTCTCCAAAAAAGGAAAAAAACAAACAACAAAAAAAAAGAGTTTGGGACTGAGCGCTGTGGCTCATGCCTGTAATCTCAGCTCTTTGGGAGACCGAGGCAGGCAGCTCACTTGAGGTCAAGAGTTCGAGACCAGCCTGGCCAACATGGTGAAACCCCGTCTCTACTAAAAATACAAAAATTAGCCAGGCATGGTGGCGGGTGCCTGTAATCCCAGCTGCTTGGGAGGCTGAAGTGGGAAGATCGCTTGAACCTGGGAGGCGGAGGTTGCAGTGAGCTGAGATCACACCACTGCACTCCAGCCTGGGTGACAGAGCAAGAGTCCGTCTCAAGAAAAATAATTTGGGTTCTCAAGTCAGACAGACAGCGTTTCAATCCTAACAGAGCACTTGATGGCTGTATGACCTTGGGCAGTCCCCATCTGACTGTCCTGTCTGAGCCTTGGCACTGAAGTAAGCTTTCAGAGTTGTTGAGGGGATGCAAGCATGTAGAACAGTGTCTGACACACAGGAAAGCCCTCAAAAAACTGGTTGTCAGTTATTACCTGAGCACCTTGCTCTCTCCAGCTCAGCAGGGGCCCTATCCCAATGCTGCCTCTTTTCCCTGATCAGGGAGAAACTGCAGAAGCATGGGGTGTGTATCCGGGTCCTGGGCGATCTGCATTTGTTACCCTTGGATCTCCAGGAGCTGATTGCACAAGCTGTACAGGCCACAAAGAACTACAACAAGTAAGTTCTCAGATTTCCCTGTAGGGAGCTGTTTCAATATTTGATTCCCTGCTGGCTTTAGGGAGACGTCCTGGGCTTTTCTTGGTCTAGATTGGTGCAACGGGCAATGAGAGAGTAGGTTGAGCAGCTTAGAGACTTTCTCCTGACTGCAGGGCACACCAGACATGATTCTGCAATAACATGTTATATGTGTGTATACTGACATATACGCATAGTTTCCTCCTTTCTGTGCCTACCCCCCACCAAGTAAATGTGTATGTGTGTATATGTATATATGTTTTTACTTGACAGGGGATGGGATCAGAATACAACAGTTCTTATCCCTGTCTTTGAAGACAGATCCTTCAAGAAATTCTTTTTCTGTTCCACTCCTTTAACCTATGGATAGGATGACCTTGGGAGGTCATAAGAATCCTGACCGGAATGAATTCAATAATCCAAACTCCGTTGATGTTTGGAAACATAACATTGTATTTTGGCAGTGGACTTGTTTTTTTTTTTTGTTTTTGTTTTTTTTTTGGAGACAGAGTCTAGTTCTGTCGGCCAGGGCTGGAGGTGCAGTGGGCGCATCTCGGCTCAGCTGCAAGCTTCCACCTCCCGGGTTCACGCCATTCTCCTGGCTCAGCCTCCCGAGTAGCTGGACTACAGGCGCCCACCACGCGCTCGGCTAATTTTTTGTGTATTTTTAGTAGAGACGGGGTTTCACTGTGATCTCGATCTTCCTGGCCTCGTGATCCGCCCGCTCGCCTCCCAAGAGTGCGGCGTGAGCCACCACCGCCCCCGGCCAGTGGACTTGTTTTACACAAACCTCCTTCCCTATTTTCCTTTGTTTGTGCCAATGTCACAGGTGGATATCTCCTCTGAGCCAGTGTTAGCAGAGAAGGAGGAGAGGTTAGGAGGCAATAGGAGGCTATTTTGGTGGCTTGGGGCACAGTGTCTCACGCCGTGTAATCCTAGCAGGTACTCTCCTTTTGGGTGCAGGAGTTCAAGGAGACCAGCCTGGCACGAACATGGTGAAAACCTGTTCTTATAAAATATACAAAAAATTAGGCTGCGTGTCAGTGGTGGTGGCGCCTGTAATCGCAGCTACTTCGTGCGAGGCTGAGGGCGAAGAATCACTGGAACCAGAGACCAGGAGGTTGGCGTGGAGTCGAGATCACGCACTGCACTCCACCTGGACAACGCAAGAGCAAAACTGTGTCTCAAAAAAAAAAGAGGAGCCATTCAGTACTTGTCTTCCTATAAAACTAGCGTTACATGTTTTTCCAAGAAACTTGGAAAACCAACAAAATTCATAATTTCCCTTTCAGGAGGTATTCCAGGTGTAACATTTGGTGTGTATTTGTTTTTCTAGGGAAAGGCTGGAAGGGCTGCTCTGTAATCAGTGACTTCAGTCATCAGTCCCTGTCCCCCTTTGGTAAATTATTCTCTTCTTCCCTCCTCAGGTGTTTCCTGAATGTCTGTTTTGCATACACATCCCGTCATGAGATCAGCAATGCTGTGAGAGAGATGGCGTGGGGGGTGGAGCAAGGCCTGTTGGATCCCAGGTATCCCGAGTTGTTTTGCATGGTAATTACTAAGGAAAACAAGCCTGGGTCAGCATAGCAGCTCATGCCTGTAATCCCAGCACATTAGGAGGCCTAGGTGGGCAGTCCATTTGAGGCAGGCCAGGAATTCAAGACCAGCCTGGCCAACATGGCAAAACTCCATCTTCTCCTGAGGTCAGGAGTTCAAGACCAGCCTGGCCAACATGGCAAAACTGGCACTGAAGTAAGCTTTCAGAGTTGTTGAGGGGATGCAAGCATGTAGAACAGTGTCTGACACACAGGAAAGCCCTCAAAAAACTGGTTGTCAG